TGGATCTCTCAACTGGATGGTTGATACTATACACAGTGTGTAGGAGGGAGGTGTAGGTTTTTGCTCGGATATCTGGTAGACGGGAGCTGTCTGTCAGTCAGCACTCCCTCGCGCTACCCCCGAAGAGCGGATGTATTGTCAGGGTAAGCCCTCTTCTCGCTCTTTCTTTCGTCCATTCCTCTTTCCCTTCTGGCTCTCGGGATCTTCTTCCGCTTCCTCTCAAAGTCCCGTTCCTCCGGCAACCCATATCTTTCTTCCTTCAAATCCGCTGGGCTTCCTTTCAAAAGAACAGAGAGATATCCTTCGGCGATATCAAACCGCCGCTCAATGGATTCAAGCCACTGATTCATGTAGGATTTAGTAATTTTTTCCCTTCATCTATCCTGTCTCTCGACTGCTGTCCGAAAGCGGGCAGTCGTATCACTTTTGTGTCTATATCATAGGCGAATAGGTGGTAAAAAACAATTTCTCGTCATCATCCCGTTCTGATTTTATCTCCGGCAACGACGTTCGTCTTTCGCGAGGAAATTCGAATCGTCGAAGCCGATGATCGGTTTGTCATCTTGTTCTGCATCTTCGTTATCCTTACGCTTCGCGATATTCCACTTCTCTCTCCCGATTCGACGACTCTTACTCGCGATTAATCGCATTCTCTCTCTGTCGCATAGTAAACGCGTGAATAGAATGCCATTGGTCGATCTCGAGTTCACTGTAGAAAAACTCCACTTCTTTCGCTCATAAATGCCATTTATTGGAAAAATGTTGAACACTCGGTGTATAATAATTTAAGATTTAATCGCGTTGCACGGTGAGAATGTAAATTAAGTGACGTAGGATACGTCATCTTTAATTTCCGGACATGAATTTTTTATACTTTGCACGTAACAACGGGCGATAATACCTGGAAAATTATATAAAGTTTGGTTATGCAAAATTCAACATTTTAACTTTATTCTTATAAAAACTGTATTTTTTTAAAAATAAACGCATATTCGTAATAACACATTACGTGCACTCCACTTACTTATATTATCATCGTAAATCATTTTACGTGGTTATCTTTCACAAGTATATTATATATATATATTTTTTTACGTTCAAGTTAATAAAATAATAAATAAAATAAAAAACTATACGATAAATGTAAGACAAATTTAAGTATTTAAATATCATATTATTGTTGATAGTCTTGACTTGATTAATATGTGTATTTAAATCGTATTATTATTATTATGAAAATGTTATAAAAATCTGTAATTTGTAATAAATTTTAATAAATTTTAAATTTAAAATTTCTGTGAGTATTATGTATATCGGCCAAAATAAGGAAAAAAAATAATAGCGGTTTTAGTGTAGGATTAACATCGTATCCAACATCGACTAACTTTCGCGGGTGTCATCGGTCTGTCGATTACAGTATTCTTTATTTTTTCTACCTGACCTATGCGTGACGTGACTACTTCGCTACTCACGATTGCGCGATCGCGCATCCATCATCTCTTGCGGCATTGTGACTCACTTGCACATCCGATTACACGTGTACGACAAACCGTATAAAAATAAAATTGCACAATCTACCGATTAACCGTTGCGGATATTCATTATTTATGTTACATCATCGGGATGCGGATAATCAGAAATTATTTTACATTTATCCTGTGCCTTGTAGTAATCGCTATTTTTGCGATATTATAGTAATATTAGCAAGCAATTTTTAAGCAAGCGTTTTTTTTTTGTAATAACAGAAATAACCAACTTCCTTTCACTTTTTCTCGTCGTCCTTTCGTCCGAATCGTTTTCTGGAAAATAACACTGTTTTTTTGAGAAAGCAATACATTTGAAAAAAAGCAGATATGTATCAACTTTTTTTCACGTTTTTTACGTACTCTTTTGATGACTTTTGTTTTCGAATTGAAATGGAGATATTTCCGTATAAAATTTATCTGGCGCGAAGTGTCAGAAGTCGGTGGTCGTTTTGGTAGCCGAGTTTCAGTTGAAAAAAGAAATGGTTGTTCCGCAATCATGTCACGGAGAATTTGCATGTGAATTCTACGGTCTCTTTCCTGGCCTCCCGGAGTTAATTAAACGCCTCATAGTTTTCGGGGTGGGATGACGGAGTACGATTGCTTCTGGCACCAAGTGGACGATCCAACCCTGCACGAGAGCGTCATTTAATAACCGCTTAGAATAGATTTTTAGAATGTTCAAAAGAGAAGGCACAAAAGAATCGCGTTCTTGTTGAGCATAAAATTATGCTGCGTCGATATTGTACATATTTTTAATATATTTATTGCATACAAGTATTTTTAGCATACAATTTTCTTTTTAATTTTAAGTGTCTATTTTATTGATTTCATTCTTCAATTTTTCAATATTGTATTTATGTTTTTTTGGAAAATTGTATATAAAGAGACACGTTATACGGGATAATTGTTTAAATTTATTATTGTCATTGAAATCGTCCATGAATAATAATGTTGTATTTTTACTATCCTCTTCTATCTATTATTATTTCTCTGTTATTTAGTATTACTTTTAGTATTATTTATTATTTAGTATTATTTTACGTCGATTTTGATCAAATTAATTCAAAATGATCGTTAATGGAACTGAGAGTGGTGCAATAAATAACGCGCATTTTTCGTTACGCTTGCACAATTTATTATTTATAAAATATATCGTTAATGTACATTAACACATCACATCGTTTTATCGTCGTTTTTTCATCGCATATCGAAATAAATACTGCAAATATACCATGACAAAATCACTTTCGATCAAAACTCTGTAACCCGTCAGTCATTTCGGCGGAGTAATAGAATTTAGTGACACGTGTGGGCGATTTTGCGATGCTGTCAACAATGTAAAATATAAAAGCGACATTGATAAGTTCATGGTGGCGTGCGTAAAAGCTTTGAAACGTTTTTTCCCTATATTGACATCATTCATTGTATTGGCGAAAGCTTTCCGAGCACGTTGTGTAACTTCGGGAGCCGTACCATGCCGTTGGATTTCGATTCTTCGACGAAATCAACGTTAATAATCGATTTCATATCGGACATGGGGGATCTCCGCGATATCTTCTCGCACGGAA